GGGCTGGATTTGAACCCGCCACCTTAGGTGTATGTGGCTGGCGTCTTAGCCGCTTGAGCCACAGGCGCCGAGCCAATTACTTTTAATTTTTTGAGACAGAGCCTCAAGCTGTCCCCCTGGGTAAAGTGCTGTGGCATCACAGTTCACAGCAACCTCCAACTCCTGGGCTCAAGTGAGCCTCCTGCCTCAGCCTCCCAAGTAGCTAGGACCACAGGTGCCTGCCATAACACCTGGCCATTTTTTGGTTGCAGCCGTCATTTTCGTTTGGCAGGCCTGGGCTGGATTCGAACCCACCACCTTAGGTGTATGTGGCTGGCGCCTTAGCCACTTAAGCCATAGGCGCTGAGCTGTGATGTAAATTATTAAAACACTCCCACCAGTGGGAAAGTCAAGCTACCAGAACGTGGAGTTGGGAAGAGATGTTCACTAGCACACCATTATATAATACTCCCACCATAGAGATACAATGAACAATTTTCAAAATTCCAGAGTATTTAAGAATACTCTAATTACTCTAAGAAACTCTTAATTACTCTAAGAAAAATAATTTTTATTAACACAAGTTGCTTTTGCTCATATAGTCCAATGTATGGAGGTTCTTTGGAGTCAGCATGAGTTGACTTCAGCGTATACTGATTATACCTAATTTATCTAGAACTGCCTCCTGCAGTTCAGCAAGGAGAAGGTCATCTATAGAAACTGCTTTGTCAAAACAAAAAGCGGACAAACCTCCAGCATTGTCCTGTAAGAGTTGGTGATGAGTAAGTTTGCTGTCATCTAAATCTACAATTTTAACAAAATGACCACATACTCAAAAAATAGCTAGAAATGTCATCTAAAATACGCTCATTCTCAAAAGTCTAGGACCAACAAGTAGAGTCTCCATAGGGAGACAGCTCTTGGAGCATTTTTTCTCTTGTGTCCAAGCTAACATCCAACATGGAGAATGGAATTACGAATGCCAGAGCAGGGGCACCTTAGAAATGAGCTCATCTAATCTCTCCTTCACAAATGAGTCGACTCAAGTCCAAGAAGGTTAACTTACTTATTCCAAAGAGCAAAGCTATTACCAAAAGCTAAGTTTTCATTTGGAAAATAGGTTCTGAGTGCTAATTTTTCCCCCAATATGCTAAGGCAAGATAACTGTGGTAAATGTAGCTAACCTTCTCTCACTTTGGGGATAAATGAGTCTCTTTGGCAACACTGTTTTTGGGAGAGTAATGTTAAGCTGTGGAAAAGAAATCTTAGTTATGCTTACACGTTCACATGGGGGTGGGGAGGGCTGGCGTCGTTTTGTTTCTATTTTATCACGCTGTTTACCATAGTTCTTTTAAACCACAAGATTTGCCCACTCCAAAAGTAATCATTTATAAGTTAACAGCAAGTGAGCTAGTCTTGTGTAAACCAGCCAGCTCTCAAGCAAATTTCAGATTTAAGAACATATTTTACACCTTGATCTGAGAGTGAAAAAATATAAGTTTTTATGAACTACTGGAGGCAAAAATTCCTGTGGAAAATGGGCTGTTGGCCAATCTCAGTGAGCTTCTGCCAATTTCATTTTTAAAAGTTTCTTTCTTCTCTGAAAATGATGTCTGCAACACCATGTTTTCTTTCTTCCTTCTTCTCCTTTCTCTTCCTCTCCTTCCTCTTCTTCCTTCCTACTTTATTCATTTATTTATTTTTTGAGACAGGAGACTCAAGCTGTCCCCCTGGGTAGAGTGCTGTGACATCATAGCTCACAGCAACCTCCAACTCCTGGGCTCAAGCAAGTCTCCTGCCTCAGCCTCCTGAGTAGCTAGGACCGCAGGTGCCCGCCACAACACCTGGCTATATTTTTTGGTTGTGGCCATCATTGTTGTTTGGCGGGCCCGGGTTGGATTCGAACCTGCCACCTTTGGTGAGACCACAGGTGCCTGCCACAATGCCCGGCTATTTTTTGGTTGCAGGTGTCATTATTGTTTGGCGGGCCCGGGCTGGATTCGAACCCATCACCTTAGGTGTATGTGGCTGGAGCCTTAGCCACTTGAGCCACAGGTGCCGAGCCTAAGAATTGTTTTTAAAATTAGCTTTTCATAGCTTTTTAGATTTAACAATTCTGGGTAAGGGAGTATAGGCCTATATCAAGTGTTCTCTTGATCCATTTAAAAAATGTGTGTGTGTACCCGGTAATGTTTTCTTGAGCAAGGTTCAATTTTAATTTTAATATTTGTTGGAAGCTACACATTCTTGTTATATTCATCTCAGAGAGGCATTCGCTATGTTTTGATCTTGCTTTAATTCCAGGTTTTTGCAATGAACAAGTTTGATTCGGGAGGAATAAATTGTTTTAGTGTTCTAATAATCTGATGTCTTCCTTAGGCCACCAATGGACTTGGTAACTACTTATTTATTTACCACCTGCTTTTTTTTTTTTTTCAGACAGTGTCTCACTATGTCGCCCTGGGTAGAGTGCCGTAGCGCATAGGGCACAGAAATCTCAGACTCTCGGGCTTAAGTGATTCTCTTGCCTCAGCCTCCCAAGTAGCTGGGACTACAGTGCCTGCCACAAAGCCCAGCTACTGTTTGTTGCAGTTGTCACTGTGTTTGGCTGGCCCAGGCTGGGCTAGAACTCACCAGCCTGGGTGTATGTGGCCAGCACCGTACTCACTGAGCTACAAGCGCCAAGCCTACCACCTGCTTTCTAATCTATGTTTATGATGCAATGCGGCTCCACAATTTATTTTTGAGGCTATTAAAGGTTCCCGTACCTGCAAAATTATACTAAGCTACAAGAAACAAGAACAGAAGTTGCATATAAAGAGAGAACATAGAAGAACACCAAGCTCAACCTATCCTTATAGAAGTCTTGATTAGACTGGTTAACGCTGCACTAGCTGCCAAGGAAAAAACACTACTTGGTCTACTTCAATCCCTCATAGCCTCATAGAGACCTTTCAAAAGTCAAGACTTGAAAAGTTATCCAGGATACTCCCTCACATCCAAGAACAGAAAACTGGGTATCAGGGAACAGAATCTGTCTGGAATAGGAGAGGATGTGTTAATATAAATAACATGTGTAGAACTTGAATGGTGGGAGGTTTCAAATAGAGGAAATGCCCAAATATGTCAAAAGAGGAAAACAAACAAACAAAAATCCCCCAAACAAAGGTAGGAAAGAAGCAGATAAGTAGTTTTAAATTGCCACTTATTGCCTAGTGCAATGATAAAAGCTATCCACTAATACAGCTATTTTAGCAAGTTAAATTTCACATGCAGTGCTACTAAAATACCAAAGGCCATACATAATGTCTGACCCAAGCTGCCACCTCATATAGCAAATTCTTACATGGGAGCTTAAAAGAAGGTTGTTTGACTGGTCCACTGTCCTGCAGCGTCAGGAGACTGCTCTGTCTGACATATTGAATTTCCAATGTCTCCCACACTTCCTCCTTTTCAGATGCACAAAAGGTTTTTGTAGAGTTTCTCTTGGTTTTATTGCTGGCAGCTACAGAAACATGCCATATGCCTGGTGTAGAGTTATGGGGTGTGATTTTATTTGACAAGTGTCTTCAGAGCTTCTGGATTTTTAAATATTAATATAACTATGAGAATTTCCTTAAGAGCTGTAAATAAAAGTCTGTACTAACTCTTGGCCAGTTATGCATAAGGTTGGAGGGCTGTTGTTACATGTTCTCTCTGAAACCATAATGAAATAGCTCCACCTCCTTACACACTTCCTACGTGAACATCACATCAGTGCGTTTAGAAACCTTAGGTTGGGTCTTGGCCTACTGTCCTAAAACTGCTGATAACTGAGAATAGCTATAATCGTCCGCAAGTTTAGGAAACACGACTAGCACATTTACGAGAGGGTCTGTAAGCACGCGGAAGCTCTCCCACTTTCTGACTTTCGACTTCCAACTCAAGGGGCATGGGTTTGAATCTGAATTTGGCCAAGCATTTACCTTGCGCTAATGGGCAAACTGTCTTCCATAACACAAATAAGTACCCATCTCTCTCTGGATCCTGAGGTTGTGAGGATTAAATGTATATCGAGCACACAGACTCTCACTATAAGGTCGCTTCTTGTTATTGTGACCGTATCCAAACTGTCCGGTGGCTAGTCCAGGGAGGGTGCAGAGAGATTTGTCACCGGGCGTGTCCCCCGGGCGGAGTGCGTCCTCCGGTAGGGGGCGAGCTGCTCACACAGTGTTCCCCGCGGGCCCGGCCTCGCCTGCGGTTTAGGTGGGGAACCCTGAGGGTTCCACGCCAGGGGAAGGGTTGGCACGCACAGGGCTGGGCTCCGGCGGGGCCCCAAGGTGTCCGATCGCACCCTGCACGTGCCCTCGCGGACCCAGGTCGGAGCTAGGGCCTCCGGCCAGCGGGAGCAGGGTCCGTGCGCGGCCGCCCGGCCCGGGGGGCGCGCCGTCGAATTCCGGCGCGCGGCGCGGGGCCCCGAACGCCGAGACAATGCGGCGCGCGGCGGTGGCCAGGAGCGGCTCGGGG